GAAACACTCCACATATTTGGCTGTTTGAAGGGAGCAAATTGTAACAAGCTGTTTGATACTAGTTAGCAGTAGATGGTAAGAGAAATAGAAATATTTTCTTGAAATTAGTCAAAAGTCAGTTCCTAGCTCAACTAATCTCTTGTGGGAAGAATTCAAGCATCACCATTATGATATTTAAAGGTACTAATTTTTCTTAAAGTTACAAGGACTGGTGTTCTTCCGGTTGGTTAGGAATTATGAGAACATTGGAAAAAACTCCCATTTTGTAGCTGGAAGGAGACTAAGATTCAGGAGGATGAGCTTTCCTTAGGTCATGATTTTGCCATTTGCTAGTTGTACTGAGGGCTAGAAATCAGGCACTAGAGTAAAAATAAAATTCACTCACATCCTGTTTTTCCAGCTAGTAAGATCTTGACCAGTTCTTATCTAAATTCTTAGCAATATCCAGGTTTGTTTCCGTAAATTAAAGGGCTTTAAGAGTCAGCTATGCAAAGGCATTCAACTGTGTGGATCATAACAAACTACGGATAGCACTGAGAAAGATGGGCATTCTAGAACATTGATTGTGCTCAGGCTGAACCTGCACATGAATCAAGAGGCAGGTGTCCAGACAGAATAATGCTGCTTGGTTTAAAATCAGGAAAGGTATGTGTCAGGGTTGTATCCTCTCACCACACTTATTCAATCTGTATGTTGAACAAATCATCAGAGAAACTGCATTATACGAAAAAGTATGTGGCATCAGGATTGGAGGAAAGCTTATTAACAAACTGAGATATGCAGATGACACAAACTTGCTTGCTGAAAGTGAGGGGGCTTGAAGCACTTGCTGATGAAGATCAAGGATTGCAGTCTTCAGTATGGATTACAACTCAGTGTAAAGAAAATCAAAATCTTCACACCTGGACCATCATGATGGTAACATCATGATGAATGGAGAAAAGATTGAAGTTGTTATAGATTTTGTCTTACGTGGATCCACAATTAATGCTCATGGAAACAGCCGTCAAGCGATCAAACAATGCATTGCATCGGGTAAATCTGCTGTGCAAGAGCCTGACGCAAACCATGATTATTTTCAACTGCCTCAAATTCATGTGAAATTGGACATGGGACACTGAATAAAGAGGAATCTATGCAATCGAACGGTGCTAGTGAAGAATGTTGACAGTCCTGTGGACTGCCTGCAGAACACGCACTCTGTCATGGAAGGACAGCCAGCATGCACATCCTTCGAGGCAAGGATGACGAGACTTCATCTCATGCACTTTGGACGGGTTATCAGGAGCGACCAATCCGTGGAAAAAGACATAATTTTGGGGAAAGTAGAAAGGGCAGCAAAAGAAGAAGGCTCTCAACATGGTGGATTGACAAAGTGGCAGCACAGAACGGCTCAAACACAAGAACAATTTTGAGGATGGCTCAGTGGTTTGTTCTGTTGTACGTAGGGTCACTGAGTGGGAACCAACTGAAAGGCACCGAGCAACAACAACAACAATCAGCTTTGAAAGGGGATTGTTTATGAGAAGAGCTGCCTATGCAGGGACTGGGCTCGTTTACAATGCTGATCTCGGAGGAGAAATTGAGAGCTCTTTTCTTCTCTCTACACAGGGTGACGAGCATGTAGGAGCCAGGGTTGTTGAGTACACTATGAGAGCTGCAAGAGTAGCAGGGACTGGAAGGATGGTGGGTAGGAGATGTCTTAGTTACCCAGTGCTGCTGTAAGAGAAATCCCACAGGGGGGAGGCTTGAACATTAGTTTTCAGTTTAGGAGCCTTGACATCTGAATCAGGGCGCCAGATGTAGAAGACGACCTCTCTCCCTCCTCCTCCCTCCCCGGCCCCCATCTCGACTCTGCTCACTTGTTCCATCTCTTTCTTATCTCAGATGACGCCGACTTAAGATTTTTCTTCACCAATCCTGCCTCCTTAACATAACAAAGACGGTCCAACACCAAATGGGGTTATAAACACAGGTCCAGAGGTCAGGATTTACAACATAGATTTAGAGGGCATATAATCCAATTCATAATAGGGAGATAATGATAGATCCTTTTTAAGGGGCTTTCTTTCCCAGCGCTACTGGGTTGGCCTTGGATTGAGGCTTGTGTGGACGAGAAGTTCAGCTTTCTCCTCTGAGGCTTGCCCCGGGCTTTGACCTTTTAGCAGGCTTTTCCTCTTCCACCCACGCACCCAGTCACTACTTAGTCATTTCAGTGAGAGAAGGGGAGCTTTGATGAAGAGAAGGCAGAATAGTTTACATATTTGGGGCATACCCTGCAGTTTTCTTCCATATGGCCTGCCAGGAATTTAGCCTGGGCACCCCTGCCACCCCATCCCCACCCCACCCTGTGCAGGGCAACAGCAGATGGAACATTTCTGTCCCTTGGCTCACCCAAGCTTCATGTTCATATTTCTCTCATGGAACAACGGGGAAGGGAAAGATTTTAAACGAACACAAACGGAAATGTAAAAAATCTTCTTTATTTAAAACAGATCCATCCTTTCGAACAGGGAGGTGATGTAGCATACCACAACTTGCACATTACATTTTGCTGTATACACAATTTCTTATCTCTGCTACTTCTCTGCAAAAGAGTGTTCATGTTTTTCTCCGGACACTCCTCTCTGATACGTTCCCCGTTAATGGATTAAAGAGTAATCTTCCCCTCAGCCCTGACCCTAAAACACGCGGTAAGTCTTGTTTGGAAATAGGGTTTTCCTTGTTTGTTCATTCTATCCTACCCAAGTAAGCGCATTCTAAATCTTCTCCGTCTGAGTGACTAAAGAGCAGATCAGACCGAGGAAAATGCACACATGACAAGATAGAGGTCACATGAAGATGGCCAAAGAGCCTAGGAACTGCCCAGAAGGAAGAAGTTGGCATGGCTGACGTGCTGCTCCGGACGCTGTCTCCTGAAACTTGGGACCTGTGTCCTCTCTGTGGTCTCCTCACGCAGGTGAGGAGGGCCCGGCCCTGCAGCACTCCGCTCTGCTGTGCTGGAGCTGACGTGATGGGCCCCACGGCAGCAGCTATACCTCCGGGACTCCATTTACAGGGAACAGAGTCATTCCCAGAGATAGGGCCCAGACTTCCTAAATAACGCCTTTTCCCTTCCGTTCTATGAAAAATCGTGCCTAATCGTCATTTTGCTGTCCTGGTGATTGGTGACAGTACCAAGAAGAGCGGAAAGGTAATGCCTGGTCCATATACTCACTAAAACCTTAAACCTCTCGTTCAGCTGCTTTTTTCTGCTGGGCTCCAGTGTCTCCCACTTCCCTTCATAAGGTTTACCTGCGTCACAAATGAGCCTTTACCTCAACCTGATAATCAGGCGGCCCACGCACTGCCTTCTGTAGTTTACTCCTCATACTCTCTTCAATGAGCCTATGCTTCGCAGAGGACACCTGCCATTGAAAGCAATTCTCCTAGCACTCTGTCACTGGTAACTGCTTCTTAATGAAATGGTGTCAGTGCAATAAGACCTCTAGTCAGTCTCTCCCCAATCAAATAGACCTTCAGGGGCTAACTTTCATCTTTCTTCCTTCCTCCCTGCCTCCCTCTCCAGAACATTTCTCTCTTCGAAGGTAGATGTATGAAGCAGTTAGGTCCCATTGTCATAAGGGAAAAGAGGTTTGAGTCTCCTGCCAATTATCAATGGCTGTGCTGGGTTGGGATCAATGCCTAGGTCGGCAGTCAAAGTACCGACGAGAAACCAGACCGTCGGCTTCAGAAGAGTAGGACAGGGCTGTCTGATCCCTGCCATGGCTCTATCATCGAGTAGGCCTGGCTTGTAGAGATAATAATGATTTACTGGTGGAGTGATTAAATGTAATGAATAACAAATGAAGCGGTACATCAAAAAGCTACAGAGATCAAGTTGAGGATTCGGGGCCAGTTTCAGCAACATGAACATCAGATTCTTAGGAGAAGACTAGGACGGCAGAAGGTACAATGATAGGACAGAGGAAACCTCTACCTCCCTTAACAGGTGAATGTTTATGGTGAGATAACCTTTGTATTTGTGTGACTCTTCCTCACATTTTGATCCACACAGAGGACATGGAAAAGAATTGGCTGAAGATGTTGAAAACCTCACTGGTAAGTAGTTGAGTGCTAATTACATTTCTATGAGATAGATTAGTAAAAGCTGAACTTAACTTCCAGCCTGCTTTATGCTGGCGTAAAGCTCACCGCCATAGACTAGACTGGCCTAGTTCACCAATATCATCTTGTTCACTGCCACAACCCCGTAGGTGGCCATTAGTTTTCTCTGTGTGCAGATGAAGCAGGCACCTGCAGAAAGGTTCAGTAGCCCACCTATAGCAACCCAAGTCCAGCATCTGGCATTCACAGTAGAATTCATGTCTCTGTGCTTTCCCCGACTCCGGGGCCTGACACCATGTAAGCAAATGCTTACCTAGACAGATGAGTTTCAAAAGAAGAAGAATCTACATTTTTAAGATCAACAGAACAAATAGTTCAGTGTTTAGCAAAGATTAAACTCTTGAAATTTGCAAGTATAACTCTGACCTTGGTACCCAAACCCATGGTCAATGAGTTGACTCTGACGTTGAGCGAGCGGCCCTCCAGGATAGAGTAGAAGCATTTCTCAGGGTTCTCAAGGAAGCAGAAAGTCCCCCTCTTCCCCCTACAGAGTAGCTGCTGGCTTTGGAACCAGCTCTCTTTTCTGGAAAGCACCTGGATGTTTCACCCCTGGGCCACCAGGGCTTCTTCTGACTGTACCAGGTGTCTATAATTAAACTCATGTACTTTTTAACAAATATTAAAGACTTATCAATAGGAATGGCCAACCCATTTTAAGAGGAGTATGTTTAGCCCTCATTTTCCATGAGATCACAACTTAAGAAAAGAATAAAGCCTACAAGGAGCAGAGTGAAAGATTCCCCATTGTCTTCCCACCCGGCCCAAAGGTCGGAGGGAAGGTATTCCTACCTCCTGAACGTAAGCAAAAGCAGGCACAAAAACTGCGCTCTTACCCTTGTTTTGGCATCAATTTTAGCGCCTCGGTCAAGCAGCAGTTTCACCATATTGGCGTTTCCTCTTTTTGATGCGACGTGCAAAGGAGTAATGTCATTCTGTGGAAGGACAGAAAGAACAGCAGTTTTAGCCTCAGATCGACCAAAATGTCCCTGCAGCTCCCCCAGCGGGCTCCAGGGGTTCTTCTTACAACCAGTGGATTTCCCAACATTTCTCTCTGATTTTCTTTAGCAGGGGGATCCAAAAGAAGATATGAATTTTAAGGAAGACACGTTCAGGGGTGGGGCCCCAAGCTCCCCAAACCAAACTCACTGCCATCGAGTTGAGGGAGCCTCCTACCAACCCCGTAGGGCAGGCGCACCGCTTCGCAGGGGCTGAAGGCCCATCCTTCTCCCTGGGAGCGGCTGGGGGTTTGTTTCTTTCCTTTTTCCCTCCATAGTTGAGTGCTCAGAAATGGCCTCTGGTTTCTCCTTATCTTTTTTTCCCCCCAATCATTTTATTGGGGGCACGTACAACTCTTATTACAATCCATCCATTGTGCCAAGCACGTTTGTACATTTGTTGCCCTCATCATTCTCAAAACATTTTCTTTCTACTTGAGCCCTTGGTGTCAGCGCCTCATTTTTTTCTCCCTCTATCCCCCACCTTCCCTTCCTCATGAACTCTTGATAATTTATAAATTATTATTTTGTCATGTCTTACACTGTCCGGCGTCTCCCTTCACCCACTTTTCTGTTGTCCGTCCCCCAGGGAGGGGTTTATATGTAGATCCTTGTGATTGGTTCCTTAGCGGCAGGTGTTCTCAAACAGCTGACCTTGAAGTTAGCAGTTCAACTTGTAACCACTGTGCCACCAGGGCTCCTGAGGGGTTAGGCCCAGGTCTCATTGCTTCATTTACCTGGGATGATTCATTGATGAAAATATGATTTTTCTGAATGTGTGCTAAAATCCTTTAAGTCAGGGTGTTCCCTTACTACGTTGTCATAGGTATTTGCTCAAATGTGGTTGACTAGCAAGTAGCTAATTAAGTCCGCCCACACTGAGTTAAAGCAGCTTCACCTTACCAGGAACCTTCCCTCGCTGAATTTGGTTTGAGCATCAGGTTGTCAAGGTGAGATAAGACTAACTCAAATTGAGAGATCAAGCAATATCATATATAGTCAGAAGATTTCCCCGGCCCTACAAGTCGAAGTGTATCTGTGGGCATTTATCAGCAATATCAGAGAGATTCTACTGTGACTACTCCAAGGAACAGTCACGTCTTGGAACAATCTAAAACACCCATCAAAGTCCTCCTCCCTCCAAGCATCGTGTCTGTGCTAGGAATGTTTTCAGAGTGTAGAAAACAAGGGTGTACATCGATTGGAAAATTTTTCCTAATTGGTACATTATTACTATAATGGTAATAAGGGTTTACGTTCTACAGTTTAAGGCAATTGTATGATAAATGATAAAGGTCCAAAAGGGCTGATAGTTTTATAATGTGATAACTGCTACATTATAATAGCTAAGCATTTTACTTATATCATTAATTCTCATAGCCCTTACAAAGCCATTCGCAAGATGAATTAAACCAGCTCCTATTGTCATTGAGTTGATTCTGAATCCTGGTGACCCCATGTCTGTCAGAGTAGTACTAGGGTATGCAGAATTCTTTTCTTTAAATTTCATTTTGTTGAAAATATATACAGCAAAACATACACCAAATCAACAGTCTCTACATGCACGATGGAGGGACTTGCACGCTGAGTCTAGAGCCATGTTCACTGTCCTCTCTGGACGAGCTCCTGCCACAGAGACTCACTGGCCCCTTGCGAGTGAATTTCAAGTTGCTGATGTCTGTCAACTTCTAATTCAATTGTATGGAATCTTTTAGCAACATGCTCAGCAATGGTAACTGGTACCATCCAGCTTTCCTCATGGAAAAGGGGCGGTTTTCCTCGAAGGCAATTGGGCACACTGGCCATATCCTCCTCCGATTCCTAACTTGGCTTCAGCCTCTGATGTTCCAGGGGTCCACAGAGGTTTTAGTGGACAGTTTTTCCAAAGTTTCGATCTCTAGGCCTTTCCAGGTAACTCTGGACGGACTTGACTTTCCAACCTCCAGTTAGTAGCTGACGATGTTAATGATCCTCGCCACTCAGGGATCCCATAATCAATTACAACTCCCATTTTAGAAACATAGGGACAGCTAACAAGGGCAGGCAGGACACTAAAATCTGACTCATTGGTTCAGATCCCTCCCCCGCCCCAATCATATAATAAAGAATGTCAAACAAACGCAAAGTTTGAGAGAAAGCCATGACCAACCTCGTTTACTTAATATCCTGCTTCAGTATCTACTTGTCAAATTACATACTTCCCGTTTTCCCCCCTGGAAATTGTTGTTAGGTACCATTGAATTTGATCTGACTCATACTGACCCGATATAGGGTTTCAGAGTTTGTGAATCTATGGGGGTGCAGATAGTCTCATTCCTCTTCTGTACAACAGCTAGTGGGTTTGAACTTCCAACCATGCTGTTAGCAGTTCAATGTCCACCCAACAGTGCTACTAGGGCTCTTTAGGTGAGGAAATGAAAACTAAAACAAGAACTCACCAAAGGTCACACAATTTGTCAGATCTCAAACATCACTCTGTCTTAATTAGGCTAGGCCGGTACAAATGGCCACTCTTTGCCCTTGACATTTTAGGAATACTTACGAGTGTGCTAAAAGATAGGTACTAGAGAGGACGGGTGAGAAGCTAGCACGTTGGTGCCGGGTCTACCATACAGAATCTGCACCAGAGTGCATCTTCGCTTAGTTATTCTAACAGCACGGTGAATTCTGTGAGAACAAAACCTCCACAAGTCGAACTTATTTTTCTACTTTCACAAAATTGAGGGGAAAGGATCTGAGATTTCTAGCAGTTTCCACCTTACATAGGTTCTGGCTTTTGTGGATTTTACTGTATCTACATCACAGAATTGTTAAGAGAATTAAATGAATTAGTAAATGATGAATGGAGCTTGGTGATTTTGTAAATGCTATAAAAGTCTTAGGAACTATACTTTTTAGACTTATTGTTATCCATATAAGAAAAATAAATATAGTAAACATTTATAGTATGAATTTTAAATATTATAATATATAAATGGTCTCTAAAAATGTATAGATAAATATGTGCATGACATTATGAAATGGTTTGGGTAGAAAAGACATAAACAAACCAAAACAACAAAGACCAAACTGCTGTCAACGACTTGATTCTGACTCAGAGCAGCCCTATAGGACAGAGTAGAGGTGCCCTTTGTGGGTTTCTGAGACTAAATCTTTATGGGAGTAGACAGCCTCATCTTTCTTCTGCAAAGTGGCTGGTGATTTTGAACTGCTGACCTTGCAGTTAGCAGCCCCTGAAATCATTAGTGAACTGTAAGGAGGGCCTATGGTGGGCAGCGCTTCTGATAGATATAAAAGGTGTTAGAGAAGTCTGCGAAACTTAAGACCATAGCTGGGGAAAGGGAAGACCTTTGGGCAGGGTGAGGCTGATACAATTGTTCAATAGAAGAATGTGGGTGCCGTGCTGTTAACAACAGAAGTCTGGGTGGAACAACAGCTCTGGGGAGAAATGAAGAATTGTCTGCCTGTCCTTTCCTTTCTCAGCTATTCCTGAAAATTCTAGCTGGCCTGGTAGCCAAGTTTGTTTTATGAAAGAATCCCCAAAGTACGGTCATTTCTGTAAATCCCTAAAGTGGAAATCAAAGCCAGTTCCTACCTTACTTGTGAAAAATGGCAGCTATTTCAGTCCGCTGAACTATATTGGAAAGCAGGTCACTCCCAGACGCCCCCTTCTCCAGCCTAAGTCTCTCCTTCTCTTTGAACACGCCGGAGAGAAATGATCACTAAATGCACAAAACCAATCAGAATCTTCTGAATAATGACACTAAAAGATATGACTATAATGGTGTGACCCAGAATACATTCTCAAAAACAAAACCCCAAAAACAAATTCTAAAAAAAACGAATATAAATGCTAAAGTCAGATATGTGATACCTCGGCTAGTTTTTATTATAATAGCTTTTGCCTCTAGGTCACTACAAGGATAAAGCGAGCCGAAGTTGTAAACGAAGAAAGAAAGAAAAGAAAAAGCCAACGACAAAAAAACACATGTCTAAAGATGACGATTTCAATGTGCTGGTGACGTCAAAGAAAATACCACGCTTCAAGATTTTTATGTTTTCTCATTCTATTCTCGTATACTTTTAGCACTACTCTAATATAAACAGACACACACAAATGTTTGTAAACAGGTTCACAGAGAAAGCAGTGGAAAGCCATTTACACAGAAAGGACAACTCTCCTAGCCCGCCCTCGAAGGAGCTGTGGGGGTGCTGTGGGTTAGGCACTGGGCTGCTATCTGCAAGGCTAGTGACTGAAACCTACCAGCTGCTGCTACGTGGGAGAAAGAGGAAGCTGTGTGCTTCCAGAAAGACTTTAAAGGAGTCTCAAAAACCCCATGTAGGTCCCTATGAGTCAGAACTGACTCAGTGGCAGTGGGTTACTTAGATAGAGTTCACCCTATAGCTCATCTATCTTTTGAAAGCGTTTCAGCTTCTGAGTGGAGAGATTGTCTCTTCTCATTTACAGGCACAAACTAGGTACACAAGGGACTGGCCAATAATATTTAACAGTCATATAGAATTTGATAGAGTAAAGGAAAAAACAGAATGCAATCCACGTTCCCTTTAATTTGCTTGCGAGTGTAAAACCATTTTTGTTCCTCTGTTTTTGTTGCTTTCTATGGAAGGTCTTTTCCTAGTTAATTTTTATAAAAACCTTATTGAGATACAATTCGCATCCCATACACTGCACCCTAAAATTCAGTAGTTTTAGTTGCAGGACATTCACGAGGTTGTCCAATCATCACCCCCATTTCATCCAGTACTTTCTCATCACCCTCAAAAAAGATTCAGACCCATTAGCAGCCCTTCCCCAGCCTGCCCTCCTTTTAGCACCTTGTATCTACTGTCTACTCTGTCTCTATAAATTTGCCCATTTTATAGAAATGAAATCTTACAAGAGATGGTCTTTTGTGTTAGGGTTCTTTCCCTTTGTA